CCGCTTTCTCTTTCCGTTTTTGTTTAATCATATTGGAGAGTACTTTGGCTCGGGACTGTCCCTCTCTGTCCAACAGATAGGCAGGTACTGCTCCCTGTGGAGTCTTTTCATCATCCTTTTGTTTGGTGTTTCTCTTTTCATGCATCTTGATACTATCAAGAAAGAAAAAGACTCAAGATCATCTGTTTTAATGATTACCAATAATTATAAATTACCATTTATAATCAATAAATGGGACTACTTACGTCTTTTTCATTTGTATTTTCTCAGCATGGCGCTGTTTATGGTAGAGCTTAGCCTTCAGACCAATCATCTTCTTTGCCTTCTTTGACCGTTCATGAGCCTCTCGACTTTCTTTTTTTCTCTTTTTCTCATGGTAATCCAAGCGATATCCATAGCGTTTACGATGTAATTCAATATATTCATTTTGTGGCATGATGACGGTCGCGAAGCTGCCCGGCGCAGCCTCTGGGGTACCAAGACGCTGTCAATCTTCGGGTCTCACAGATCCACAAGCCGACTCCACACCACCTTTTTTAAAATTTATTTTATTATTTTTTTTTATTTTTGAGACAGAGTCTCATTTTGTTGCCCTTGGCACAGTGCCATGGCATCATAGCTCACAGCAACCTCAAACTCTTGGGCTCAAGTGATTCTCTTGTCTCAGCCTCCTGAGCAGCTGGGACTACAGGCACAACACCCGGCTATTTTTAGAGACGGGGGTCTCACTATTGCTCAGGATGGTCTCAAACCCATGAGCTCAGGCAATCCACCTGCCTCAGTCTCCCAGAGTGCTAGGATTACAGGCATGAGCCACCATGTCGGGCCCTCTAGCTGCTGATGACATGATCTTATATAGAGAAAACCTTAAAGAATTCACAAACAATAATTAGAGCTAATAAATGAATTTTGTACAGTTCCAAGGTATCAGATCAATGTAAAAATATCAGTTCTACTTTTATGCACTTTCTTTCTTTCTTTTTTTTTGAGACAGAGTTTCACTTTGTCACCCTCAGTAGGGTGCTGTGGTGTCACAGCTCACAGCAACCTCCAACTCCTGGGCTTAGGCGATTCTCTTGCCTCATCCTCCTGAGTAGTTGGGACTATGCCTGGCTATTTTTTGTTGTAGTTTGGCAGGGGCTGGGTTTGAACTTGCCACCCTCGGTATGTGGAGCTGGCGCCCTACCCACTGAGCCATAGGTGCCGCCCATTTTTATGCACTTTCAATGAGCAGTCTGAAAATGAAATTAAGTAAGCAATAGTATAATATCAGAAAGAAAATAGGAATATGTAACCAAAGAGGTGCAAGACTTTCACACTGAAAACTGAAACATTGTTGAAGGAAATTTAAAAAAAATGGAAAGACATATTGGGTTCATGGATTAGAAGACTTAAAGTTAGCAGAACTCCCTAAATTGATATATAGATTTAATGTAATTTCAACCAAAATCCCTACTGTATTTTTTTTTTGCAGAAATGGGTGAGCTGATTCTAAAATTTATGTGGAAATACAAGACACCCACAATAGTCAAAGCTATCCTGAAAAAGGAGAGTAAAGTTGGAGAACTCATACTTTCAATTTCAAAACTTACTACAAAACTACAGTAATCAAGACAGTATGGTCCTGACAAAAAGCCAGACGTACAGATTGATTCAGAATATTTGAGAGTCTAGAAATAAACACATCCATTTTTAGTCAATTGCTTTTCATCTTCTTTTAAAAATTTTTTAAAGTATTTTCTTTTAATTGACAAATGAAAATTACAACATGATATTTTGACATAAGTATACATTGTGGAATGACTCAGAGTATTTAAGATATGCATTATCTCACACAGTTTTTTATGTATATGTTGAGAACAGTTAAAATCTACTACTTCGTTAGCAGTTTTAAAGTATACCATACACTGTTTCAATTATAGTCACCACTTTGTACAATAGACATCTTGAACTTGTTTCTCTTGTCTAACTGAATTTTTTTTTTTAATGACAATAACAATATTTAACATAAGGACTGAGAACAAAAACCTCATAAAGAACGAATGAAGAGGGCAACGCCTGTGGCTCAAGGAGTAGGGTGCCAGACCCATATACTAGAGGTGGTGGGTTCAAACCTGGCCCTGACCAAAAACTGAAGAAAAAAAAAGGAAATGACAAAAGGGCAGAAATCAATTGAATAGAAAATAAATGCTTAAAATCAATAAAAAAATTAAAAAAAAAGAATGAATGAAGAAAAATACATTCAGAAAAGAAATCAGATGATTACTGCAATGAAGCAATAATAATAGTAATAATGCAAAGAAAGTGACATTCACATTGTCAGATAGAAGTATGTCTATTATAGAATACTTTGATCAGTTAACTTCTTCTTATTTTGTTTTCTCCTCTCTAACTGAATTTTGTATCCTTTTCTCAGCACCTCTCCATATCCCACCTCCACCTCCAGCCCCTGGTAACCACTGTTCTACTCTGCTTCTGTGAGTTTGACTTTTGTAGATTGTCCAGGTAGGTGAGATCATATAGTATTTTTCTTTCGGTGCCTGGATTATTTCATTTAACATAATGTCCTCCAGGTTCAACCATGTTGCAAGTGACAGGGTTTTTCTCATTTTTAAGACTGAATAGTATTCTGTTGTGGATATAGACCACATTTTCTTTGTTCATCTGTTGACGGACACTTAGGTTGATTCCACATCTTGGCAATTGTGGCTAATGCTGCATCATACATGGAAGTGCAGGTATCTCTTCCACTCACTGATTTCTTTTGCTTTGGATGTATACCCACTACTGGGATTGCTGGACTGGGGTTGATATAGTAGTTCTATTTTTAACTTTTTGAGGAACCTTTAGTGTTTCCATAATGGCTGAAGTAATTTACACTCCCAATGGTTATGACAATAAAATGGGGAAAAGGAAAGTGTTTTCAACAAATAGACCTAGACTAACTGTATATTCACGTGCAGAAGAATAAATTGTGAGCACTGCTTCTTACCATATACAAAAATTAACTCAAAATGGATTAATAATCTAAATGTAAGAGCTAAAACTATTAATATAAAGCTCTTAGATAGAAAACATAGGTATAAATCTTATAATTTTTTATTGGGCAACAGTTTTCTTCAATTTGACACCTAAAGAACAAGCTACCAAAGAAAAAATAGATAAATTGTACTTGATAAAGGAAAAAGTTTTATATAGCAAAGGGCACTCTTAAGAAAGTGAAAAGATAATCCACAGAATGGAAGGAAAAATTTATAAATCATACATCTGATCAGCATCTAATATCCAGAATATATAAAGAGCTCTGAGAAATCAATAATGAAAAAGACAAACAACTCAAAGAATTGGTGAAGGCTTTGAATAGACATGTCTTTAAATGAAAGGGCCAAAAAACACCCTCAAAGATGAAAAGATGCTCAATGACATCATTAGTCATTAGAGAAATGCAAATCAAAACCACAGCAAGATACCACCACTTTTTTAAAAAGAAAAATAGCGAGTATTGGCAGAGAGAGGGAGAATATGTTGCTGAAGGGAATACAAAGTGGTTCAGTGGCTGTGGAAAACAGTTTGCTATTTCCTTAAAAAGTCAGAGTTGTCCCATGACCCAGCAATTCTACTCTCGTGTATATATGCTCAAGAAAATTGCAAACGTGTTCACACAAAAGCTTGTGCACAGATGTTCATCACATTTTCCTAGTGGCCCCTAAAGTGGAAACAACCCCAAATGTTTATTGATTGACACATGAATAAACCAAATGTACCATGTGCATACAATTAAATATTTTTTCAGACATAAAGAGGAATGAGGTACTGCTACATGCTTAGAGGAACCTTGAAAAATGTGAAGGAAGCCAGTCACATCAACCACAAATATGCAATGTCCTGACGAGGCCAATCCACAGCGACAGGAAATAGTTTAGTGATTTCTGCAAACTGGGGAGGGGGAGGACGGGGAGTGACTGCTAATTAGTATGGTGTTTCTTTCTGGGGTAATGGAAATATCCTGGAATTAGATAGTGAAGAGGATTGCAGGACCTTGTGATTATACTAAAATCAATGAATTATAACCTCTAAAAGGATGAATTGAATGGCCTATGAATTTTATCTTAGTTTAAAAGCTGACTTAATTTGAAGATTCTTATTGTGTGAGGATAATTTAAGTAAATAAAATATATAGATGTTAGGGAACTTAGTCTCATGGTTACTCCTAGTTCCAAGGGTGCAATGTGTTTCTGGGAAAGGTAGAGAACTCCACAATAGACAAGATAGTTGCAGGGCAGTAACAGGGAAGTGAAGCCAAGCCCGGAACTCAGTGAGCACGCCATCCCGCTGAGGAAGGGGCTGTGGGTTTGGGGGGACAGCTAGCAACTGCCAGTGGCAAAGCTGGAATTGGGATGTAGATCTTGGTGTCCTGGTCCAATGTCTTTTCATCATACCCTCTGTTCCTCTAAGGAGACTGATTTCATAACTGTAATCAAGCAAGCTGCTGAGAATAGGCATATTTTTCAAACTAAAATAAGATGCGTCTGCTAACAGTGATACTGAGTAACCTAGGAAATGACTAAGCATTTATCCCTCCTATATGTAAAGATTGCCCTCTTTAGGAAAGGATGAGTGCATATGTAAATATAAGTGCATTTTTTAAAGGAAAAGGGGAACTTCTAGAGGTTTTCCAGGGAACTAGGATTGTACAACATCCCTTAAAAAAGTACAGTGGACAAAAAATAATCAATAAAAATTAAAAAAAAACCAAACTATAGTGGACAACAGCCTCTGCCCTTTAACGAACAAAGGAATCATTTGTTAGCCTTGACTGGTACCCACTGGTTTGGGTTGATCAGATGCATGTGATTGGCACATCTGTATGGTACAGATGGTACCATCTGTATGTGGGATATACCATGCTGAGCTGGGGCCGGGAGTGCTCAAGAGTCTGGAGTTCCCTTCATGCTAATTTCAGGTAAGATAGGCTACTAGATGGAGCTAACCTAGCTCTCTTTTTCTTTCATTGCTAGTGAGGATCAGGAGTCTTATTTTCTTCTTCAACATTTTGTTAAAGTTTGACAATTTTAAGGGATTAATAATTTTTACCTATGAATCCAGAAAAGATAAATTCCAGTGAGGATATTATACTAGAATGGATATATGGAAATAAATATTTATATCTTCCAGGTGGTTGTGAAAATTGATCTAATTGATCTAATTTAGAGACTAAAAACTCAAATGTTTATAGGGGCCAGGCAAGTAATTAAAATCAACGAGAGAGAGAGAGAGGATGATTGGGATTCTGGTAAAATCCACATCAGCAAGAAACAAAAAGCATCCACTGGGTGGGCCAATAGAAACCAGTGTGGGGCCAAGTCAGCTGAGAATAGGCATATTTTTCACTGGGCTACCAGTTTCTGGCAAATGCTTGCTTGGCTATAACATAATATGGCAGCATGCAACAGGACTTTATGTTCTGTCATATGTAATACTATTACCAAACAAACAAAACACAGAAGGGAAAAAACTAATATGAACAGAAATGTCCTCAGCTATTGTATTTAGAGAAAAAACTGGAAACCAGTTTCCCTGATGCTTAATATTTAAAGAATGATTATCAAACTGTGATCTAACTATGTAACCGCCCCAAGCACAAAGGTATATAGAAGGTGCTAGAGTATGTAAATGTACATCTGTGAAAATTAAGTGAGAGCAGAATACAAAATCGTAAATATATATGAGCTACAATCTATGCGCTTGATACTAGCCAAAAGGTCGAGAAGCAATGTGCTGGAATGTATGTTACAAAGATTGGAAAAGAATTTAGAGGATTAAACAATTTGGTGCTCATCAGATTGCCCCCCCCCCGAAAAGTGGTAAATTAAATTTACCACGAAGAGAAAGAAAATGCAGGTTGCCTCTCCAAGGCCATCAGTAAAATACATCTTTTGGATTAAACCCAGCTAAGCCCAGGCTATGGCTTTGTCCCAAAAGTCTTCATTTTTGCCTGAAAGAGATGACTTCGTGACCTACTCTGGTATACACTGACATTTTGTCCCACATCAGAATTCCGGTTTTTGCTTTCCTCCTGCTCACTCTTTATAAATCTGGATGCAGGGGAAAGTGACCGCAGTCCCAAACTGCTTGAACGCTCCACCTCCTTCCACACCACTCATGAGTCAAAGCTGGACCGGGTTCCTGCGGGGTCATATGAAAATGTTGTAGGTTCTTTGGCCTCTTTGGTTTCAGGGATGGCCCAGCTTTGGGGATACTTTGGGCCCTGGAGTTTCCTGGGGCTGGCATCCAATGTGGGCTGTCCGTGCCGGTTGCCTTTTGATGTCTGTCCTGGCCCTGTCAGGGCTGGACCAGCATCTCAGCCCCTGTTTTGACACACTGGCTCAATAAGGACGTCCTCTACCTGTCCTCCAGCAGTCTTGTCACCTGTAGTCCATAAAGCAGTGGCTTATTTTTCAGGAAGGAATCGGGATGAGAACAGAGATGTCTAGTTACTCAGGGCATTGTGTGCGTGGGAGCGCACACGGGGTGGGGGGGCCTACTTTGGCCTGATTTTTGTGCCCACAGACCACCTGTTGCTTAGTTGATGAGGGCATTATTTGGAGGCTCAGGGTAATTTAAATGAGTTCAGATATTATCAGAACTTTAAGATAAATAGGTCACTTCTTATGCCAATGTGACGTGAAAGTCTCTAGTGGGCACAGGCTGAAACTGCAGCCCCCACATCTGTCTATACTGAGGTTTCACTTCTCAGCTGCCTCATGTTCACTGAACTTTCTAGAAGTTGCCCTACAACACGTATTTCGTATAGCTCAATAAAATGTGAATTCTTACTCAAGGGATTCGATTCTCTGAGCCTTGCTATCTAGGTCTGGAAGTAGATCAATGTCTTTCTTCTCTAGCTTAATTCAGACAAGCCTGGTCCTTGGCTAGAGACTGAGTCTAATTAGCTCCACTGCCATAGAGAAAAGTTTTTAGATCTGTTTTTCACTCCCTCTGACTTAGTTTTTAGAGTGACATATTCCAGCTATATCCTGTAGTCATTTTGAGTTGGCACCACTGCCTCCGGCCGTGTGAGAATCTTACTTTAACTTTAGAGTGCACTTTCCAGCTGTCCAGCTGTTGGTCCTTGCTGTGGCCTGAATGAGCAGGGCATTTATCTGCTCAGAGCTACCACCAAGTCTTGCCTGGGAGATTTTAGTAGCTTTCAAATGGTCTCATAAATCCACTCTAGCCCCCACCCATTCCTCATTCAGTAGTTCAAGTCACCTTTTGGAAATGCAAATTTGGTCACATCACCCTTTAGCTGAAAAGCTTTTTGTTTTTGTTTTGTTTTGACTCTGTCACCCTGGGTAGAGTGCTAGAGGCATCATAGCTCACAGCAATCTCAAACTCCTTGGTTCAAGTGATCTTGCTTCAGCCGCCTGAGTAGCTAGAACCACAGGCACCTGCCACAACTCTGGTTAGTTTTTCTATTTTTAGAGATGAGGTTTCGTTCTTGCTCAGGCTGGTCTCGAACTCCTGAGCTCAAGCAATCCACCAGCCTTGGCCTCTCAGAGTGCTAGGATTACAGGTGTGAGCCACCTTGCTAGGGTCTTGAAAAGCCTTTTGTGATTTCCAGGTGCCTTTAGGATGCATGCTAACACCTTCTACACTCCTCATGTGGCCTGCCAAGGTCCCGCCATCAGTTTCTCACCAGCTTCTCTTCACTGCTCCTGGTGCCCCGTGCTGGGCCTCCTTGGCCTCTCTAGCCAGAAGGTTCTGCCCTATTTTCCGCTGTCCTCTTCTGTCTAAGCCAGTCTTCACTCCTCAACTAGGCCTACCCTATGGGCTCGTAATATCACACACTTCTCCTTAGCCCTTAGTACTGTTTCAAGTTTACTTTTATTTGTGTGATTCTTAGATTAAGGCTTGTCTGCTCCACAAGCTGATACACTCCATGAAGGTGGGTGATCTTGACTTTGCTGGGGGCATGCACCATGGCCAGCGTCTAACCTATACTGCAGGAATTTATTAAGTCTTTATTGAATGACGACTATTTCTTCTTGCTTCCTTTCTGGAATTTATTTTATGAATCTGACTCAGGTAAGTTGTAACCTCATCTGTGACTTCCTCACTAGTCAGCTGCTTTAGCTAAAGGTTCTACTTTTATTTGAGCATTTCACTTTTAAAGGAAAGCGTGTGGGCCTCTGTCTTCCAGTGGCCACATATACACCCTTCTCTTTCTTCCTCTTGGCTACCCAGGCCCTACTCGGAGGCCATCCTGTTCTCTGACTGAGATCTTTGCATCTCTGGCCACCTCTCAGGTCCTCCTCAGTGACCCATCACAAGCCCCTCTTAAGTACAACCCCAAACTAAGAGCACGTGATACACACAGTGTCAGAACAGCAGCAATTAAAGAGACTGATTTTTCAGTGGTGATGACAGTAATTAAGGGTCCTCTGTGAAGTTCTTTAGTGCTTCTTAAAAACTAAATTTTCTCATCTCATTTCTGCAGTTTACCATCTGTTCTGCTATAATGAAGGAATTGCATTTACAAGAAATCTTACATCATCAAAAAGCATGATATAAAAACAATTGTTTGACTAGAAAAAGAGGGGTAGAGATTGGATATCTGACTCATAATAACAATGTTATTTTTCCTGCTGAATCTTTTTCTAATAGAAGTTTTTTATTTTTAAATTAACTTTGAATGTATTAGCAAAATCCATCATTGAAAAAAACTGGATAGGCTTGGTGCTAGTTGCTCAGTGGTTAGGGCGCCAGCCACATGCACCAGGGCTGGTGGGTTTGAACCCTGCTGGAGCCTGCTAAACAACGACAACAACAAGAACAAAATAGCTGGGCATTGTGGTGGGTGCCTGTACTCCCAGCTACTTGGGAGGCTGAGGTAAGGGAATCGCTTTGAGGTTGTTGTGAGCTGTGATGCCATGGCACTCTACTGAGGGTAACATAGTGAGACTCTGTCTTAAAAAAAAAAAAAAGAAAAAGAAAAAACTGTGTAGTTTTTTTAATATATAGACAAACACTGGAATACTAGTCTTTGTTTTTCTTCATTGCCTACCCTACCTTTTACACCATCCAATTTCCTTTGTCACTCATTGTTACAATAAATCAAACAATCAGGCCTCCCAGATAAACCCGCTGTCATGCTAAGGGGTGGGTTACAAACCTAGTAAATAATGGTATTCCTAGTGCTAATCACATTCTCTCATTTATTGGATTTCTTTTAAAAAACCCTCAAGCCTATAATTTTCTCAACCTCTGTCAAACCATAACTCCTGTGTGTGGATGTTTTCCCCAACTCAGGTGATGCAGGCTCAGTGTGTCAAAACAGAAACGGAATTTTACCGCCGCAGCCGCAGTGAGATAGTGAACAAGAAAGGGCACACCATGGGCGCGCTCTACTGGCAGCTGAATGACATCTGGCAGGCCCCTTCCTGGGCCTCTCTGGGTAAGTGTCTCAGCATTGGCAGAGTGAGAGAAGGCAATACCTATGGGGAGCAGAGCCTGAGGAACCACAACCAGAAGAGCCCGTCCCCTGTAGCCCACCTAAACCTATGGCCGCCCCCTCTGGATAATCTTTCTGTGAGCCCGAGAGACAACCTAATTATGAGCGTGATGAAGTCATAACAGCAGGCCAAGGGGAGGGAGATCCATATACGAGGGTCTCTGTCATGTGTCCTGTGATTACTGTGTAGAATTTTGAATTTATTTAAGAAGACTTTCCAGGCCAAAGGTTGAGGGCCTTCATGCCTCCCTTCCTTTGTGTAGGAGGATTCACGCCCGTAGAAGGTCGGCCTGGTTCCGTGTTAAAGTGCCCCTTTCTCTGACTGCCCTTACAGTCGGTGATGTCATCTTTACTGTGCCCTACTTAGCTTTGGGAGGCGGAAGTGTCAGAGCCAGAAATCCAGATAGGAAAGGTTATAGCTGAACCAGTTCAACCAGCAACAGGGGCGATGCTGGCATAGAACTTGCGTTTTTAAAAAATTTTGGATTGATATAAGGGTACATATAATTAGGTTACATTGTGTTTGTTAGGACAAGTCCGAGTTGTCATTGAGTCCTTCACCCAGGAGGTGTGCCACGTGCCCCTCCATTGTATCCGTTGGGGGGGGGCTTACTGAGCCCATCCCCCCTTTCCCAGCCCCCTACTTGAATTTGGTTGTGTTTTCCCTCATGTGTGGGCCTGTAGTTATTCATCTGCTAGTTTCAAATTAGTGCTGAGTACATGGGATGCTTGTTTTTTCATTCCTGTGATACTTCCCTGAGGAGAATGTTCTTCAACGCCAACCAGGCAAACGCAAAAGAGGTAAAGTCTCCATCTTTTTAATGACTGAATAGTACCCCATGGTATACATAGACCACAGTTTGCTAATCCATTCATGGAGTGATGGGCATTTAGGTTGTTTCCATATCTTTGAAATTGTGAATTGGGCACTGTAAACATGTGAGTACAAATGTCCTTATGGTAAAATGAGTTTTTTCCTTTTGGGTAGATGCCTAGTAATAGGATTGCAGGATCAATTGGAAGCTCTGCTTTTTAGCTCTTTGAGGATTCTCCATACTTCTTTCCAAAAGTCTGTATTAGTTTGTAGTCCCACCAATGGTGTACGAGGGAACTTGCATTTGAATTAACCCATCTATTCGTTACATTTTAAAAAAATTAAGGAATGATGATGAATTTCTGACCTTTGGTAGAGGTGATTTGAAGCAAGGTTCAGTAAATAATATCAGTAATAGTTTTGAGTCAAAACTTAGGCAAAGGCCATCAAGTAAAACGGCCATTCTGCTGGGGAGGCTCCTACACTGGCTCAGCCACGTGAGTCTGCAGGCCTTCATTCCAGACAGGCTTCCCTGGTGCCAAGTGGATGACTCTTACAGGGAATTGGATTTTTGCTCAGTTTCTCTGATGGAACTCTTTATCAGCACCGACCAGATCAAAGAGCCTTGACTGAGAATCAGGGTAGACTGTGGGGAAAAGCCTTCTGGGATGCCGGAAAGATGAACAAGAGAGAAGAATGTTCAGACACACTTGGACACTGACCCTGCTTTCTGTCTGTAGAGGAGACTGAATTTTCCCAGCTGAGTTTGATTCAAGAAACGGGAGGGCCCAACTTTTGTAAGTCTTCCTTTAAATGATTGCGTATAGATTATTCCTAGGAGTTCTTCAGAAGGGTAGATCTGTGGGGGGAGGAAAATCACATTAAAACTCAAAGGGCCTTTTCTATTCTGTCACTCCACAACCAAAATCAACACAGAAGCCTCTGGGACCAGCCGTGTGAGGGTTTCTCCCACTGCTAGGCAGGCAGTTCCACAGTGGTCACCAGCTCGTGTCCTCTAATTCTAGTTTGGCAGGTCAGATCCTGCAGGTTGAGGGCTGTGTCCCATAAGACAGCACTCCTCTTCCTAACACCAGTTCCAAGATTGGGCCGGTGGAAATTCTGACTGACTGGCTTTGAGTTGGGGTTTCCATGATGCCCTCTTGGGGTTCATTCATTTGCTAGAGTGGTTCACAGAACTTATGTTGCTAGTTTATCACAAAATGACATTTTAAAAGATGCAAATAAAAAGCCAAATGAAGAGATGCATAGTATAAGGACTAGGAGGTCCTGAGAACAGGAGCTTCTGTCCCTGTGCAGTTCGGGTGCACCACGCTCGGTCTGCCTGCACACGCCAACTGTCTGAAGCTCTCTGAACCCTGTCGTCTTGGGCCTTCTATAGAGACTTCATTGGAGAGGCATGATTGACAGCTGTGTAGCAATTGGATTGGACAAAAAGGGCATGATCTGATACTCATAGGCTGAGTGGAGAATCATAGCAAGGCCTGTTTATTGGGATTCTTCTCTCCTCTCTGTGCAGCTCCTCTTCCTTCAGGATATAGGGCAGGATCTCTTCTGAGGTGCAATCAGAAAGGCAGGGAAAGATTAGAATCTTGTCCTGGGCAGGTGAAAGGAGGGCAGGCGAAGCTCAGAGAGCTAGATTCTGTTTTCTGAGGCCTGCTTCTGAGCCCTGTAGTGCCCTAACATTTTAACAGAAGATTGCAACAAGGGCATGAGAGTTATGAGCCAGGAACACTGGACAACACGGGTAACACACAGTAGGGAAACTATGTAGGGAAACCCATGTGTAAGAGTGTGATGGCCGATCAAGAGTTTGGCCATTTTCTAAACTCTGGCAGGACTGCGTCTGCCTGGGGAGGGTTACCAGCTCCTTGTACGGATTAGAGAACAGACCCAGGAAGAAGCTGTGACAAGTTATGCCACATCTACTCCTGATCTCAGCACCACAGAGTCCATATTTAACTCTGTTTAATTGGCTGAATAAATCCACTGCTCACAGTGTATGCAAATGAGGAAGGTATATGTCGTCTCTTATCACCTGTAATGGTGATAAAAAGATCGCCAGATAAGGTGAGGGTGATAAGATAAAAATGCTACTAAAAAGATCAATAGCTACTTGGAATCTGTACCTTCTTAGGCAGGTATGCAGTAATGTGCCAGGAAGCAACATTTCAGTCAATACTGGACTACATATATGACAGTGACCTCCTAAAATTACAGTACCATTATTTTAACTTTGTATGTTTAAGCACACATAGACCTTTCCAAATATAAGTTCTAGTTTACTTTAAATATATTTAAGCACACAAAGACCTACCATTGTGTTACAGTTGCTGATGGTACAGTAACCTGCTGTACGGGTTTATAGCTTTGAAGCCTTAGGCCATAGACTAGGTGTGTAGTAGGTCTGTACCATCTAGGTTTGTGTAAGTATGCTCTATTATGTTTGCACAACAAAAAATTTTGCCTAACAATGCATTTTTCAGAATGTATCCCTGTTGTTAAGTGACACACGATAGTATTTTATTTTTAAAAATTAGTCTAAACTTACGGGTATCATTCTGCAAATACAGAAATCCAACTGGGCATTTATTTTGCTTGATTCATAAACTTGGATAGTTATGGAGCTAATGGTAAAGCCAGAAATCACATAATATTTTTAGCCTTTTATGAAGAATACTATGTAAGTATCCAAACTCTGTTACTGACTACTAACTTAGGTTGGTGTCCTAGTCTGTTTTACATTGCTGTAACAGAATACCACAGACTGGTTAGTTCACAATGAACAGAAATTTATTTGACTAACGGTTCTAGAATCTGGGAAGTCCAAGAACATGGTGCTGGCATCTGGCAAGGGCCCTCCCACTGCATTATCCCATGCAGAGGACAGAGGGCAAGAGAGCTTGGGGTCAGAGAGTGAGAGAGGGTGGAACTTGTGTTTCTAGTAACCCACTCTCATTATAATAAATCTACTCTTGCAATAAGGACATTAATCCTTTCACATGAGGGTGGAGCCCTAATGGCCTAATTGCATCTTAATGGGTCCCCTACCTCTTAAAGATATCATCACAATGGCTGTTAAATTTCAGCATGAGTTTTGGAGGAGGCATTCAAACCTAAGTAGGTATGGATTAGTGAGATCTTCTGTTTCAACTCCTGTTCTCCTGAGTGTATTCTGTTTGTGGCCTTGACCTCTGGAACCACACATTTCCCCTATAATGGATATCACACACGAGCATGTGTGAGTCACCTCAGATCTGAGCCATCTTCTATTAATGAGAAAACTTTCCAAATAGAAGTTCTAGTTTACTTTATAAGGAAAGGCCTCTCAACACCACACACCACATCATTCCCTCACTGTTGCATTAGGAAGAGATACTAAGAGTTGAGATTTAAGTTGAAATTTTGCAAAATCCAAAAGAAATTAGTTTTATCTGAGCTTCAAAACTGTATTCCCTTATCTCAACACTGTGCAGTATTCATTCTGACATCTCTCTCTCTTTCTCTGTCTCTCTCTGTCTGGGAAGTTATTTGGTGATGCAGTACTTTGTGGGGAAGTACTATTTCATTTTGAAATAGCAGAATGTGGAGAAAGGAAGATTGGAAAGATTTTTAAGTTAAAGGGTTTAACATTCTAAATGGGTCAACAGGACACAGAATTCTACAGGTTCTTGACAACTTTTAATTATCTTTGTGAGACTGTCATTAATTGCCATTAGTTTCTGTGTTTTCCCCCAGTCTGACCCTGCCAACCATATTTGCACAGTGGTTGTTTTGGTTTGCTGGGAGGGTTTTCTGCCTACGGGAAAAGGAAAGTGTAAGTTCCACGTAACTCTTCGGAATGGATTTCTGTAACAGGTGTTCACTGCCAGAGCTACTGCTACAGAGTTCGTCATGTAAAAAGGGACATTGGTGTATTGAGCTCCAGAAAGCAGACTTGCATATGAGTAAGGCTAGTTGAGAGTCAGATTGGGTTCAAAATACCGTCTCCAGCATGTTTGAACTAACTGCCTCTGTTTCTTCCCTCTAAGTGGGCTGTTAATGTTTGCCAGACTCGTAGGAGAGCAGGTGACATAACATCCAGATGCTCAGAGACCCTGACACGTCTGGGTGTGTTCCACCTAGACTGCCCCTCACGGCTGTCTCCCTAGAATCATGGCGAGCCGCACACAGAGGCAGCTGGGCCACGCGGACTCTGACTGCTTGGCCCTGTCCGTCGGCTAATGCTCTCGATTATTTTCAGAATACGGAGGAAAGTGGAAGATGCTTCATTACTTTGCTCGGCGTTTCTTTGCTCCACTGTTGCCAGTTGGCTTTGAGGATCAAAGTGTGTTCCATGTCTACGGCGTGTCAGACCTTCACTCAGACCTCAGGGTGATGCTCACTGTGAGTTACGGGGGATTTTTTTCTCTCTACAATAGAGGGAGACTTTTAGATTATTTCTTTAGTTGTTTGGTTGTGTTTCATTTGGGAAAAATAGAAGTTAATTTGCAGCCAGAATACATAGATTCAGGTGAGAACTCTGCTATTCATTATGTGGGCTTAAACAAAACCCTTGACATCTTGGCGATTGAGTTTCTGCCTCTGCAAAATGATACCAATCTACCTTCTTAAAAGATTTCTATGCATAGTGAACAGAATAGATAAAAGCAAATTAAAGTATAAAGTGCCACTTAAATATAAGGTGATTTATACTTATGAGAAGCTGGAAGTGGTCCAAAGTTTGCAACAAGAAATGGTTCAAAATGGTATATTAATGTGTGGAAAAATAAGTTTGTATTTGAAATAACTTTAAGTAAAAAAAAAAAAAAGGGTAGAAACTCACAGTGTTTGGTGGTCACAGTTCAGAGGACACTAATAACACTGAATATAGATCACCTTGCTGGGATAATTACAGTGTCCTTGGCACTGCACCTTCCATGGATTATTTTTTTAAATTCTCACAACAGCCTATGAAATAAATGCTGTTATTATTCTCATTCTACATATGAAGAAATGGAGACCGAGCATTCGAGTGACATAGTCGCATAACTACATGGTGTCCCAACAGTCACTCCTAAAGTTGCCATTCCTAGGGAAGATGGGAAATTTGTATCTAAAGGTAACTTTATTTGGAAAATATTGATTACAAAATTTTACAAAGAAGTGGCCTACACTGCAGAGAATATTTTGTTAATTTAGCTACAGTTTCACATTTTCCCTATGTATGGGGACTTTTGGGACACCTGTAGTGCTTTGTGGTGCTGTGATTAAAACTTAGGTTTCATAGTCTCTCAACCAGTTCTGCTATTCTGACTATCTGCTGTTATTCCTACTATTATTCTCTAAAAAAATAACCAAGAATGTCTGTTTTTATTCTGCTTTATTTCTCCCCAGGTGAGAGTCCATACGTGGAGCTCCCTGGAGCCCTTGTGCTCTCTGGCAACTAAAGGTTTTGTGATCAGAGCGGGAAAGGCCATCCTCCTCTATAAGGAGCCAGTGTCCTCATTGCTGAGGAGATGTGGGCATTGTACTCGGAAAAGCTGTGTGGTTTCCTTTTACCTTTCAAATGACCTTGAACTCTTGAGCCCAATCAACCATCACTTCCTGTCCTCCCTGAAGGAGGCTGTGGGGCTCCGCCGAGCACATATCACTGTAAGCACAGGTCCTGGGGTCACCGTGGCTTCTCCTGCTCCTGGGACCAGCTCCGGGCACCCTCCTGTTTGTACATTTCCCCACTTGTACATTTCTTGTGGTATGAGTTTACCTGAGACCTGGGGAAAATTGGCCTCCTTTCCACTAGAAGCAAACACCAGATGATTGTCAGGATTGTCAGTCACTGCCACTTGTCTGTCCCATCAGCCTTCCCTAGAGGGCTGGTGCGGTGGCCGGAGAGGAGGCAGCAGGCGTCACCACTGACTGCACTTCCCCTGCGTTCCAACTCTGTTCAGTTGCTTCCCTGTGGAGTCTCTGATTTTCACAACAACCCTGAAGCATCATAATCTGAGTCTTAAAAGTGAGAAAGCCAGTTTAGGAGATTAAGTAATGAGCTCGTGGTTCTGTAGCAAGGAAGCATTGGAGCCCAGTTGAAGCACTCTAATTTTGATTTAAATGGACTTTATTAATATTCATCTTACTTGGCTGGGCACGGTGGCTCATGCCTATAATCCTAGCAGTCTGGGAGGCTGAGGCAGGTGGGTCGCTTGAGTTCAGGAGCTGGAGACCAGCCTGAGCATGAGTGAGACCCCATCTCTAAAAAATGGCCTGGCATTGTGGCAGGTGCCTGTAATCCCAGCTACTCCATAGGTTGAGGCTAGAGGATTGCTTTAGCCCAAGAGTTTGAGTTTGCCGTGAGCAGTGACGCCACAGTACTCTACCGAGAGTGACACAGTAAGACTCTGTCTCAAAAAAAAAAAAAAAAAATTCATCCTACTCTTCATGATTTAAAGCAGCTCAATCACCAAATCTCTTTGTGATTACTAAGAAAAAAAAATGG